GCAATATAGTCCAAATGGAGTGTTTGTTATGTGAGTGCTTTTACAAATACCTTTCTGAGCGTATGCAAGGCATCCATGAGTGATTCATCCTTGTCCTTTCTGCTGTTGCTGAGCCGCCTGCAGCAGGGGTGCGGCTGATGCGGTGTTTGACACGCTGCTCAGTCCTTCCCAAACTGCTTTTCATCTCTTGCCTTTGTTGCTTAGTTTTTGTTCTTGGAACAGCCTGTAATGTTTTGCTGGTTGTTTGAGAAGGCAGTTTTCCACATTATGAAGATCAGCAGTTAAAGCAGCTCGTGGTATTTGAGGATGGTGCCTTCCATGATGTAATGAGATGTGTTCTTGCTCTGAGCAGGGAATTAATGACTTGTAATTTGCAGCTCATACAAAATTGAAGCAAGGACATGGCAGATGTAGGATGCTAAACCTTGCCATTTAATTAGGAGGCACTAAGAGTGAAATTAGGGTTAAAAGCCTTGAATAGACTGATTATTGTTAGGAAACTGTGAACTGTTAGGTTCCTATTAGAGATACAAAAAGCTCAAATTAATTTAACTTTTCACTGTAACTTTGTGGAATTTGCAGTGCATGTCGGTGACAGAGCCCCTAGGTATGGCTTGAGCCAGTCCTGCAGCAGCTTTTACTGTTGGGGAGATGATTTACTCTTTTTTATATGCAAACACATTATTTGAATTATTTGAAAATGAATGAACACATTGAACACATTCATTTTCAGCTATGCTGTCTGTTAGCTGTACATTCAGAGAAAAAGTTTAGGGAGAATTTCACTTGACAAAGCAGTTTAGACTTGGGGGGTTTTATAATTTATTTACTTAAAATTATATTTTGCAACAATTTTGATCAGACACTAAGTACATTAAAAATTTATCTTCCAAGCTTTTAGTACTTGAAACTCATTAAATAATAAAAATATCAATACAGAGAGGGGAAGTCTTTAGGGATTCAGACCAAGGAAGAAAAATTAGAATGGTTTTATTTATTTGTTTTTAGGACCCATGCTAATCTTTAGTCAAGGAAAAAAAAGTATTGTGAGTTGTTAGAATGAAATTCTTTCTTGATAAGTTTTCTTATGCAAAGAGGGATTCATACATGTTTTGGCACAAGAATATATTGAAGTGACCTGCAGGAAAACAACTCTTCTTTAAAAGCACCTGGGTAGGAAAAGCTCTGTAAGAGATCTTTAAATGTGAGCTGGAGAGCTTAGTAGCTGGCTGTGATATGTATATGTCTGTGGAAAAATTTAGGCAGAAATCTGTGATGTCAGCATTACTAGTGTAGTTGGTTTGAAAGTTTTATGAATAACAAAATACTTAAACTGATTAAAGATAGCAGCCACTTAAGTTGTTTGTATATGATGAGATTATCCCAGTGGTTGCAGACTGGAAGGTTTGGCCTTGCTTTCTTTGGTTCAGACTCTTGCTATTCTCAGTCCATTTCTTTGTTTTGAGTTTGTTACAAAATGTTGTGGAATCCTCTTTAGTTGCAGGGGGTTTTATGTTGATCTGTCAAAATTAACTTATTTTGGTGTGTTTTAAGGCAGTGACTTGGTTTTTCTAGAAGTTGGAAAGCATTAAGTGACTTTTGGACTTCAGTATAGTCAATATTATCACAAACAAAGAAGGAGGATAATATTCAAGATCTACACAGACACATACTTAATATAATAGGTAAATTTCTTAAGCCAGCTAGTGATCTGTAAGTCTGGCTGCATTGCATATTTTTTTTCCTCATCCAAAATTCTGTTTTATAAACCTTTGTACATCTTAATTCTTTGCTTTGTTTTCAGTTGTATACTGAGCTGAAAACTAGTATTTGAATCTAGAAATTTGCAGTGCAGTGGAGTGCAGGACAAAATTTACAGGAGCTTAAGAAGCCTTTGCCTACACTATTTTTTTTTTCTGTAGGGAAATGTATAGGAAAAAAGAGTTAACATTTTTTGGGAAGTGACAACAGGCTGGCTAGGTTTTGTCTCCTTTCCTCTGTATACATCCTGCATACAAACTTCATTTGTTTGCTTCCTGTGTGACATTTGCTGCCTCAGGACATTCAGATCTAATTTACAGAATCCCAGAATATGCTGAGTTGGAAGGGACTCACAGGGGTCACTGAATCCAAGTCCTTGTCCTTTACAAAACCTTCCCCAGTTATATTATTATGTATTGAAATATGGGCTTGTTTGGTGAACAGGCAATGATCTTTTGTAAAATACATTTAAAAAAAAATCATGATAGCACCACACCTTCACTTACTGCCCTTAAAGGCTATTAGATATTTATTCATAAATTTTACTCCTGCAGAGTCAGATTTGATAGCAGGACAAATTAGATGTTTGTTATCCTCCTGTTTTCTAAATTATTCTCCCAAGCACAGTCTATAAAAACTCTGAACACCAACAGACACCCCTCAAAACTTACCCCAAAATATTTATTCCTTTCCTGTCAGTGGGAGAGATTGGGGTTCTAACAGTGTTCACTAGAGGAGACTTGAGAATCCTCTGGCAGGCTGCAAGGACCTTCGTGTCAGTCTGTCTGGATGCAGCTTTTGGCTTGGCTCCAGCTCCAGCAGATCCCTTGTGCTGCTAGTGCAGAGGCAATGGAAGCTTTTAGCTACATTGGGGTTGGAATGAGGCAGCTAAAAAGCCTGGCACATGGAGTGAGACAGGGGGAATGTATTCATAAAGCAGGTCTGCTGCTGGGATGGTTTGAGTGTGGTTTTGCCCCATCTTGTTTAAACCTGCTTTTATCTTCAAAAGATGCTGTGCTGGCTTGGCCATTCTTAGTTACAGCTTCAATATATCCAGCCAGTATTCTGGGCCTTTTAATTTATCTGTTAATTTATCTGTATTCATCTGTATTCATCACTTAGAATTAATTTTATTTCTACTGAGGTGTTTAAAATGTGTGATTTTTTAAAGACAGTATCTATGTGTGCATTACATAAATGTATGCAAACATCTGCTTTTCATTTTGCTGTAAAATGACAGAATATTGAGGCATGCAGAAGGAATTGCTGCTATCTCTGTTCACAAAAGATATACAAATAGTCACTTCATTAGATGCCTCTGCTGGTTTTACTTCTTTATAACCAAAGGTTCAGTGCTGTGCATTCAGGATGGAAATTGTTAATTGAGGCTGTGAAAGTGTGCCAGGGCTAATTAGGGTTGTGTGCTGAAGTTAGTATAACCCATAACCATTTCCTATATGACTGTGTGTTAGAAGCATTTATTTGCAAATTTAGTCCACATTAAATTGCAGTTCATTTTTCTACATAACTTCTGTACTTTAAAACTGTCTTTTTAAGCATTCTGGGTTATAGTTCTCAGGTTAGAAGTGGGAAATGTGCAAATGTCATTCTCCTCATCAGGTCTTCATGGGTTAATTTCTTATGCCATGCTAGATTAGTTGCTTTATACTAGATTTACCAGATTTATATGGTTTTTTATCAGATTTATATGTTTTATATTGATTTATTTGTGAATATGAAGTTACTGTACTTCAGTAACTTCATATTCACAAATCTGGGTAAAACCAAGTTCACACTTCCCCAAATTCTGTGTTTTCAGATAATTACAAAAAAATCCTACTGTCATCTACAGCTTTGGTTTGGTAACAAGTGGCTGTGCCTTTTGGGTATTGTATTGCAGGAGATCATCACAGAGAGGTAATTTGAGCACATATAAACAGAAAGAGCAGCCTTTTATTTTTAATATAATACAAAAGCATAAGAGCACATCCTTTGGCTGTTGTCATGATGTGCATTTGTGCATCTTCTTACAGTCTTAATTCAAGACTTAAATGGTTCCAAATTTATTTGCTTTCTCCTAAAATTAGACTAGCTTTTGTAGTACAAAGTTTTAATTAATTTTAAATGTTAGTTTGTCAATGCTTACCCAGGTGTCTTCACATACATGGGGTAATTTATTGCTTTTGAAAAATCTTCCCTATTTTATTCTAATTTATACTTCCTGGTTCACTCAAAGATTTGAATAGCTGAGGTATAGAGCAGTAATTTCTCAAGTCTTTATTTTCATTATAGAACATTCTTCTGGTGACATTTAAAAAGGGTCAAATATTTTGTGTGTCTTCTGTTTGCATTTTTACATTTATAAGCTTGTTTGTCAGTTCAGTAACAGCATGTGTGATAATTAGAGAATCTGAGTCTCTAAGCTTTTCTGGGTCTTCATTTGCATTTGGTAGAGGTGTTGACAAACATCCAGAAATTTACTATCTTTAGTGTAATGCTTTAGATACTGATAAAATAGCACAGTGAAATGTTTCTTGCTGCAAGGGCTGTACTATACAAACTGTTTTTTCTGGCATGAGACAGGTGTTCCATCTTCATCAAAACAGCTGCATCTAGACCTGTAGGCAATTGAATATCAATGTGTTTAGAGTTAAAATAGTGAATTAAAGTTGTCCTGGGGGTAGTTGTGATGTTCAAAATACGTAGTGGTAAGAGCTTTTGTAGTCCTTGGGAAAGGATGAGGCTGGTGTTACCTTTTTACAGGAGAAAGATGACTTTTCTCATGACTGACTGATGAACTCTTTCAGAAGGCTATGTGATATTTCTTCAAATTCTTCAAGCTCCATCCTGTGAGTTTTTTTTTTAGAGAACTGCAGATCAGTGGCATCTGCAAATAGCTATATTTATTATGGTGTGTATTTTATACACCACCTACTTTGCTTTTTCACAAACAGAATCCTGGAGGTGCAGCCCTGTTTCTCAGTAGTTGCTACAAATTCTGTTGCCATGTCATAGTCTGTGTTTCATGATATGTTGTTTTTTGGTTTATCAATGAGTGTCAATGTTAAATCTGGAAATAGAAACTGGGGAAGTTGACACTGTACAAACTCAGGACATGAAATACTGTAAAAATTGTGCACAAATATAATTGTATTCTGAATATACCTTTCAAACTTTATTCACTTATATGCTTATTTTATTTTTCCTTTTGTACTAACTAGCATATTCTTCCTTTTCAGAATGTATGAAAACATGTCCACAATGGTGTATTTAAAGGAAGAGAAGTTGGAGAAGCTTACTCAAGATGAAATCATTGCCAAAACTAAGCAAGTGATTAATGGACTAGAGGCACTGAAGAATGAACACAATTCAATTTTACAGAGCTTACTTGAAACTTTGAAATGTTTGAAGAAAGATGATGAAACTAATCTGGTTGAAGAAAAATCAAACATGATTCGAAAGTCACTGGAAATGCTGGAGCTTGGCCTTAGTGAAGCACAGGTAAAGTTGTGGTAAAAATGAAGCATTTCAGACATTTCTCCCCAGGTATTTGTGATATGCAGGGGCATTTATATTATTCTTGTATATAATGGACAAAAGCTGCTGTAATTAATAGGGGTAGTTACTGTACCTCATGCTGTGTTACAGAACTGATTATGGGGTTAGTGTTAAAGTACTGAAACTCATGACTGGGCTCCACTTGACATCAGTGGCATTCAGTCTAAACATTTTCCGTTTAGACTTTCCACATCAGGCTGGTAATGTTCAAGCAGCTCAAGAACTGAGCAGTGGCATTTTAACTCTAAAAGATGGCATAGAAAGGTCTCAAACAAACACACATATAATAAATGTATTTTCTCCAGCCTTTGAGCTTTGGTGTAGCCTTAAATTCATGTTTATATTCCCTTGACTCAGACTTTTTTATAGTAGCACATGATGCTTTTAGAGCTTAAGAATCTCTAATGTTGATTGAACATTTTACTAAACCAAAATTGAAACTAAAAGCATTTTAAAGTTTAAGACCTGAGTACAGAATCTGAACAACTTTGACTGATGCATTAAAGAGAGGACTCTAATTTCTGTGGACTCTTAGCTGATGAAGATACCATCTGCAGAAGATAAGTGAAAAGTTGTATGTTTATTGGGTTGTCAGGACTATATTTATGATATTCTGTACTAAATCAAAAACCTGAAATGATGTGATATGACAGTCATCCCTATAAAACAGGAGAGTGTTTGCAAATGAGTTGAAAATGCCAATGAGTTAGTTCTACATTAATAGGCTTTCTGTTGGTCTGTAACTGTGCTCAGACTTCTCTTCTGGACTGAGCTGTTATTGTGTGCTGATCTGGAAGCTGTGTGCATTGGATCATGGTGAATTGAGGCTGAGAGAATGAAATGTGGGTTATCAGGCAGGGGAATGTAGAAGCCTTGGACAAACTGTCAGGCCTTAGTGTCTATGTTTTATATTCTTTGATATGTTCTTGTTCAGGAGGAAAATGCTAGAAGATAACATGGAGTAAAATTGCAATAGTTGAGTTACCTTTAATGGTTGGTTGTAGATGATGTGCCAGTGAAAAAGCAACTCTGTGTAGTATTAGGACTGTGAGAAGCCAGTTCTGAATTTTACTCTATCAGGAGCCTCAGTTGCAGGTGTTCCTGCCTTGTTTGCCTCCCATGGTACTTTGTGAACTGTGGTGGTGAGGAGCCAAGAAGTCTGCATTTGCTGCCTTTGTTAGGGAGCCAATTACACTTCAGACTGCTGCTCTCAGACCTGATAAGGCTACTCTTCCTGAATGCTTTGAGTTATAACAATGTATATTTTTTTTAAATTTTTAAATTTAAGATATGGAAATAGATTTTTTTGTGGCATGCATGTAGGTCCGGTGATGTGTTATTTCCATGAAAATGAAACTGACTTTGCTGAAGAAGTAATCAGACTTTTCTTTCAGATAATTCTAGTGAGTAAGATTACAAAATACTTTAGTTTGCCATTGTAGCTTCTTCAGTGTTTGAATATGTTCACCCTATTTTCCTGAATATGCTTTCTCATTATATAAATGCCACTGTTTGAATTGGCCAAGTAATTAAAATATTAGAACTGTTTTTAATATGTAAATAGATAGGTGCTGAAGTCTGGAGCTTTGAACTTGTATTAGGAAATTATACCTGGAGTTTTCCTTACCTTTATAGGAAAAATTAGCTTCTAAAGTCTCAATGAACATTTTGACACCTGAAATTTCAGCTAAGGACACAATCTGTTTCATATTAAATACTTAGTTTAAAACCACTTAAAGATAACTTTGTTTTTAAAAAAAACATGAACTTGAGATGAAATACAAGAAACTTGGATGTCTAAAAGATCTGAAAGATTTGTACTCTTACCAATGGTCCACTCTGGCAAGGTGTGCATCCTGGGACTGCTGCCAGCTGTTCTACATGTGTCAGTGGGAGAGTGCATAAACAGTGAAGGGAGAATATCTTCTGCTGGTAGTGTTTGGCTGTCACTTAATAAGCTCCTTTTTCATTTAACTTTGCTCAGCAAAAAAACCCCAACCCAGTCCAAGTAAGCTGCTTTTATGGATGTTCTATTTTTTGCCCTTAACGTGACTGTGTTTGAAAGTCTGCACACTCCAGCTTATGGTTAGTAGTATAAAATGCATCTATAAATTGTGTGTTCAGTTGCACATGCAGATCTCAGTGAAATAAATATCCCTTTGAAGTGTTACCATTGTGCTGAGGTGTTCAATTTAGGAGATATAAGCATGTAAACAAATCCCTTTTTTGTCTGGAAGGTGCTAAATTAGAACTCTGTGTCAGGTTTCGGGTTATTTTTGTGATCTTGCAAGTTGAATGTATTACTGCTCCATTTTATGTTAGTGGAACAAAGATTTCCAGTTGAGTAATCTAGTTCAAATTTTTCATGTATTTTAAGATTATATTCAATGTTCAGGGAATTCTGAAACAATTTTAACTTCTGATAGCATCATGGAAAACAATTATTTAGTGAAGAGTTCCTGTAGGTTGGGACCCCAGCAAGGGAAGGACAGGGACCTGTTGGAGCAGGTCCAGAGGAGGCACAGGATGACAACTGGGGCTGGAGATTGGCTGAGAGAGGTGGAGAAGAGAAAGCTGCAGGGAAGTCTTAGAGCCCCTTCCAGGGCTACAAGGGGTTACAAGAAGAGGGGCTTTGAAAAGTCATGCAGTGATAGGACAAGGTAGAATGGCTTCAAACTGAAAGAAAATAGGTTTAGGCTGAATTTAGGAAGAAATTCTTCCCTGTGAGGGTGGCGAGGTAGGGGAACATGTGCCCTGTCCCTGGAAGTGTTCAAGGCCAGGCTGGATGGGGCTTTGAACAACCTGGTCTAGTGGAAAGGTGTCCCTGCCCATGGCAGGGGGCTGGAAGTGATCTCAGAGGCCCCTTCCAGCCCAAATCACTCTGAATGGTAAAAAGGTTTAGAGGGAAAGTGAGAACCATATCTAAAATGAAGAGAAAAAGAAATGTTTACCAGATTTCACAGCTGACACAGGTTTAAATAATGAAAGCCTTGTATGTTATGAACAGGACTGTATTCTAGGGGAAGTATGCCATGTGACACATTCTGCTTTTCAGGTAATGATGGCTTTGTCAAATCACTTAAATGCAGTGGAATCAGAGAAGCAGAAGCTGCGGGCTCAGGTTCGCCGGCTGTGCCAGGAGAATCAGTGGCTGCGGGATGAGCTCGCCAATACACAGCAGAAACTGCAGAAGAGTGAGCAGTCTGTGGCTCAGCTGGAGGAGGAAAAGAAACACCTAGAATTCATGAATCAATTAAAAAAATATGATGATGATATTTCACCATCAGTAAGTACCTCCATAGTAAAACAGTAAAAGCACCTTACATTTACATGTGTTGTAATCTGCCTGTTTAACAAGAAATAACAGATAGATTTTATTTGTCCCTTAGATACAATTGTCATTAAACTACTACCTTGTACTAGTATCACATAGTTTGCAGAATGATTCTGAGAGCTCATTCTTATTTTAAGAGAGTATATATTTTGCTGTATACAGATAATAAAATACATGAGGAACAGAATTGATAAGTACTCATTTAGTAGCTTAAAAATGTGAAGAACTGGGCCAAAGCAAAAATCTCACTTCCATAAACTTAGCAGTAAAAATAAGTGAGAAATCTAAGCTGTGAGACATTTTACATCCCTAGAGGACTTGGCTTATTTTGACTGCAGGAAAAATACTTCATTTTTGTCTTGTGAAATCACAGCTTTTGTATCTGTTGAGAATTTGCACAAGGATAAGATGTTAGTGAATCCCCTTTCAGGACCGTCTGCCAGACACTGTAATCATCTGCATATATACAGGCCCATTGTGTTACATATTCTTAGTTTCAGAGAGAAAATGGACACAACTTTAATTTACAGAAGGAACTTACTGCTTAAAAAGACTTCTGATTTATTTGCCCTTCATTTTATACTTTTATTTGGCTTCCTTAGGTTAGGTGGCACTGTAGAGAAAGATCTAATTTTGTGTGTTCAGACCTTCTCAGTGGTGTCTGGGAAAGTGCAGTTTTCATAACTAATTATTTCAGCAATTTTAATGGTTGAAAATAAGTGTGATTTACTCATGCTTAACTGACTGCTTGATTAATCCTTTTAAAAATATTGTACATGGTGAGAGTTTTTTTCGTCGATTGGACCTGGAATTTTTCAGTGCTGTTCCATGAGTTGGTATTTGTAGATGAATTTGCCAGTGAAGCCTGTTCAGAAAAGGGCAAGAGGAGGGAATGTTGAGATTGTGATGTGCTGTATTGTCAGACTGTACTCTGCAGATGAATTAAGTAGCTCCATTATTTGAAGTTTAATTAACAAATAGAGTCCAAATAAGCCAAGCATCTTTATAGTTTTGTTAACCATATGGACAGTGTCTGCTTCTAGCCTTTGTAATAATTAGTTGTATGGGCTCAGTATGAGGTTGGAATCAACATTTAAAATTATGAACATCTTATCTGAGGTGTAGTCCCATCAGTTTGCTGGTTTTACAGTGCCCTTGCTCTGCCATCATTGAATTTGAATGCCAGCAGCAGCAGTTGGCTTTTTCTCATCTGTGGAAAAAGGTGTTGATTGGAGAGACAGAAAAATAAGAATGTGTTCTGCCTCTGGGTTTTCTCCTTACTGAGCTCATCCTTTCTGAGAACTTCAACTGTTTATATTGTGTAGGCTCAACATTTAGGAAACTGGGCTGAGAGATGATCTGTCTCTTCATTTTATATTTGAAATTATATTTAGATCCTTAAAATCATTTTAAACTGATGGATTGTGTAGAAATTAATACAGTTCCAGATGGAGACTATTGGAAATGAACTTCAAGTGTTCTTGTTTTGTTTTTTTGATTTTTGAACCTTCCAGACTAATTGCAAAATCTAATTATTTGTACAGAAGTTGAGTACTCAGAAATTGAGATCTTCCAACTATAACTGTGTTTATGACTAAAAAAGGTACCATGGACAGTTCTGTACTGAGCAGTGCTTTCTCTTCAGTGGGTACTTTCATGAGACCTAGTGCCTCTGTGAGAATGGCAAATGTGTTCTTGTGTGCTCAAATTGAGACTGAAATCTAGGAGACCTCATTTCTATTCCTGGCCCTTCTGAAGGTGTCCTGTATTGTTTTGGGACAGAGTGTGTAAATACATTAAAATATAAGACCTACCTTTATAAAACTTCAGTGAGAAATGTTATTCTTGTCAATTCTGAATGTGGGGTTTTCCTTTAACATTGCTGGTTAATTGGCCTGCCCTCTTATGCCTTAGATTTAATTTGTTGGGTTTGGGCTTGTTCTGTAGGAGGATAAAGATTCGGATTCCACCAAAGAGCCTTTGGATGATCTATTTCCCAATGATGAGGATGACCAAGGACAAGGAAGTAAGTGTACTTCAGCTTACATTGTTGGTGTGTTTCTGCAGTGCAGAATATAAAAATGTACTTTTAAAAAAATGCTTGCTTCACCATTCCACTGCAACACAACTGGAGTGATGAATGCCTCTGCTAGAATAAGGAATCCAATAATTGATTTACATTCTGTACATTGGTGTGTACAGAACTGGGGCCTAGGTTTTTTAGAGTTTACTAGGTGCTGTAAAGTTCAGACTGATTTAAATTCAGAATTTCTCCTGTTTTCTTTCTTAGGGTTCTCAGAATGGTTAGTTGCAAGTGACTGAGGCAGATTCTAACCAGATAGTGGATTCTGTTTATGACCTCTTAAATTATCTGATTTGAGATTTTTGTGGCAGATTTCAGTATGAAATCTTTTTCATATAGTCTTTTGTCCTTTGCTAAGATTGTCTGCATTTGTTTTAGTACTAATTGTGGAAGCATTGTTTGTCTTCAGGTGAGCAGGTCTGAGGAATATGCTGTGGAACTTGAGGCAGATGTTTGGTAGTATGATTGAATAAAGCTCTTGGTAGATAAGTAAGCTCTGCTTAGTGGAATGTGGTTTTTGTATATTTGTTAACATAGAACATATTGATGATGTGGAGTCAGTGCAGTGTGGTGGGAGCAGAATGGTTTTTACCACAAAAATGACTTGAGGGACAATGTCTGAAGGGACCCACCTTTGCAATCAGCAATTTCAGATTTCCTTTATGGGCATGCCTACAAGGTACACTGCATTTTTGTCAGCACAGCAAAGTTATCCATAACCAGCACTGAAGGGAAGGCTTGAAGGGTTTGCAGCAGGTCATTGTTGTCATGAGCTCCTTCCTAGCTCATCCTTGCTTCCCTAGAATTTTGTAGTTGGAAGGTTGAGAGGCAAAGCTCCCTTACTTCTCTTTACAAAAGACAAAGTTGACATGTCAGTGATTTCTCTGACCTTCCAAAAAAATGCTGAAATTCTTCAGTGGTTTGGCAGGCAGTGACTCTGGGTATAGGCTTGGACTTGGGTGATTCCACTGTCATAAAAAGGCTTCCACTTTGTGTGAGAGTGTTTTTTGCTTAATAGAAAGGAGAGAATAAAGCCAGGCTCAGAGAACGATAAACTTGTTCTCTAGAGTTTAATGAAAATGAACAAGACAGAATATTCTAAGTCTCAGAAATGGGTCAGGTGAAAAGAAAAGGAGGCAGTAGGAGATTAAGGGTTTTTGGGGGCAATAGGAGAGTAAGGGTTGCAGCAACCAAAGGTTAGGAGCTACTGGAAAATAAGTGGCTAAGCTTGAGGGTTAGTGAGTAAACTTGAAGGTTGACTTTGACTCAGGGCCTTTTGTGTTGCAGCTGCTGTTTCTGGCATCCAAGGTGTTTCAGTCCTTTATGTGCTAATCTTACGTGCTCCTTGGCATAGCAAACAAAGGGAAACAAAAAAAGTATGTTTAGAGAAGAAGAATAAAGGAAAAAGTTTCCTGCAGATATTCAGCTTATGTATGTTGGTGTTCCTTGCCATATGAAAACAGCGATATTTGTAGGTGCAAAATTTTTGAATCATCTTGAGAATGGTTTGCTGAGCCAAAATAGTTTCCTGCTTTCTTCATTAGTTTATTACATTTAGCCCTCTGAGCTATGAGAACTGTAAAAATAATAGTAATACAATACTAGACAGGATATAAGGAATAAAACAATCATACTTCCACAGTCACTGTTGAAGACAGCCTGACTGCTGTGACCTATGCTCTAATGCTAATTCTGTGTATTGAAGAAATAAAATTCAGTGAGTCTCATTTTGTGCCACTGAGCACTCAAGTGAAATGTTTTATTTACAGTCATCTTTTACAAAAGTTGAAATTTGTGGATTTCTTTCAGTTCAACAGCAGCACAGCAGTGCAGCAGCTGCTGCCCAACAAGGGGGCTATGAAATTCCAGCAAGGTTACGGACCCTACATAATCTTGTTATCCAGTATGCTTCCCAAGGTAGATATGAGGTTGCTGTGCCTCTCTGTAAACAAGCTCTTGAAGATCTGGAGAAGACTTCAGGTCATGACCATCCTGATGTTGCCACTATGTTGAACATACTTGCTTTGGTGTACAGGTTGGTATGCTGACATAGATAAATACCAGTGAAATAAATACTTAGTTGTTTGGCTACAACCTTTTAATGTTCAGACTAGAATTTTTTCCCTGTTCTATCTTCCTTTTTAAAATTATTATTAAAACCCTAAAGAAGTTCCTAAAATATTTGTATGTCTCCCTATATTTAAAAGTCAAACAAGCTGCTCTATTTTCACCTATACCTTTGCTTTGGGAATGAAGCTGATTTTGATTTTTGGTTTTTTTTGTCTGCTGAGGGGACATGTCTTGATTACCCACTTCAAGATAATCTAGAGGTAGAAATTGGACATCAGTGTAGAAATGGTACATGCTCAGCATAGTCCTCAACTACTAAACTATTTGCAGTCACAGGCTTCAGGGTTCTACTTCCTAATTTATTAATATATTCTCAATTATTCTTAAATAGTAGCATCTTTAGGTCAGCAGTGAACTCAGCTTAATTTTAATGATTTTTCATTCCTGAATCCCCAGTGTTAATTACATCTCTTTACAATTCAGAGACCAGAACAAATACAAAGATGCAGCAAATCTCCTGAATGATGCCTTGGCCATCCGTGAAAAGACTTTGGGCAAAGATCATCCAGCGGTTTGTATACTTGCAGTAACATCATTTTAGTTTGGTTTTCACTCAACTTTTTATCAACTAATTCTAATGTCAAACTCAACAGGAAAGGTTGTAAGACCTGGCTTGTCTTTAAACAGTACAGGTAGGAGGCCACATTCTATTCAGTGCTGTTTCACCATGAATAATTTGCCCATACTTGATTTTGGATTGCCTGGATTTTTTGTGACAAATCAATTTGTGAAGAAAAATTTTTGCTTACTCAAATCTCTTTACTATACTCAGATTGAAGGGGCAATTCTGGTTTTGTTTACTGCTGCTTATAAATGAAATGTAAATCAAGCATTTGGAAAATTCATATGGTACTGTCGTGGCCTGGGGGATGCAGGGCAGCTCAAAGTGTAGATGTGAGAGGTGCCTGTGTAAGAGAAGAACATGTGAAGATGTGCGCACTAAATGACATTTCCACAAAGGAAGCAAAATTACTTCATGATTTAGGTTTTTCTTTCCTCTGTTGTGTATATATGCATTTAATAATAATTATTTCTTCACTACCCAATTTCAAGAGATCTATCCTGTGCATGGAAAATTTAATAACATCAATGCCTTGCAGATACGCTCATTTGTCAAGCATTTGTATCAGCAAATTTCAGTGTACTTAATGTTTCTCTGCTTTTGACAGGTGGCAGCAACTCTTAACAATCTTGCAGTTCTCTATGGTAAACGGGGAAAGTACAAAGAAGCAGAACCCTTGTGTAAGCGAGCTCTGGAAATCAGAGAAAAGGTAGGAGTGACAAATACAGAGCCTCTAAAGGGACTTAGGGAAGGAGAAAGCAAAGTTAAATGCTTACTTTTTTATGCTTTGGTTGGGTAGATCTGTCAGATAAACCCCAGAGTTAACAATGCCTAGTAGTTAGGAGTGTCTGAAATTGAAAACAGTAGGAAATTCCAGTAGTGCTACGGAATTGCTGGAGCACTCTGGGTGTATGCTAAATTATGTATTTTGTGAGAAACCTTCTTTAGCTTTTTCCTTCCCCTTTGATAGCAAAATAATCTTTGATTGGACAAGAGCATTGGAATTAAAAAATTAAACTTAGTTAAAATTTTTAAGTTGATTATTCTCTATGTGGATATTTATTTTAGTCCATGAGAGTGCATCTTCTGTTTTATATAAATAATAATTTCCCTATAATGTTGTTTTACTACTTACTTTGTTCCTCTTACGGATTGTTCTGCATCATTCTCAGTTTGCAATAGAATTGAGTCATTTTCATATCTTTGAAATGCAGCTTTTGCTTTTGTTGAATTGAGGAGGAATAAAACTAACAGGATGTTTCTAAATTATTTACTTCTAGACCCTGACGTGATGATTAGAGAATGTTTTAATACAGTGTATTTCATTTCCAGGTCCTGGGGAAAGATCACCCTGATGTTGCCAAGCAGTTAAATAACTTGGCTTTGCTATGCCAGAACCAGGGTAAATATGAGGAAGTTGAATATTACTATCAGAGGGCACTTGAAATCTACCAAACTAAGCTGGGACCAGATGATCCAAATGTTGCAAAAACAAAGAACAATCTGGTAAGCCTTTCCCAAAGTAGGCCTGAGACAATTGAAGTGCACTTCTATCCACAATGTATTGTATTTCTTGTTTATACAGACAAATAAAGCAGTGTGCTGATATCTTTTGGGGGTATTTTGTTTTTAGGCATCCTGCTATCTAAAACAGGGCAAGTTTAAGCAAGCGGAAACTTTATACAAAGAGATTCTTACTCGTGCTCATGAACGGGAGTTTGGCTCTGTAGATGGTAAGAAAATGAGTCCCTAGATTTGAATTTATTTTTTATTTTTGTACTTATGGAATAAAATTTGCAAGAAATGTCCTGATTAAAATTGTTGTCTGCTTTTAGGTGGACTTAAAAGGCGAGCTGACAGATGTGTTGGAAGTAACATTAATTATAAGAAAGCTTTTAGATACAGCAGCAAACATTTGATTTAAAAACATGAGGTAGACTTAGTGGGTTTATATTTTATGGATTTTGTTTCTGGCCTAATTTATCTTACACCCCACTAAACCCAACTTTGGTATTTTTATAGAGGCAGAAAAATGTACATCACTTTCCAGTCACAGGAAAAGTCAATGCAGGATTTTGGTGACATAAATTGTTAATGCAAGCCCTCCATTAACATATTTAAAGAATGGGGAAAATACCTTTACATTGAGGGAATGGGGAAAATACCTTTTGGTATTTTTGGTATATTAATGGGGAAAATACCTTTACATTGAGAATTACACTGTACATTGAAGTCATGTGCATTTTATAAAGCAAAAATCCCACTAAAGCATTTCCACTGCATTCCATGTCAGTAGCATATGCACCACTTAGTAGATGACAAAGTAGTTGTTAGGATGAAAGAAATAAATTCATGTTCTCTAGCACAGAACTAGACACATGACAAATGGGTGACAGTGTATACTTACTTCAAAGCTTCTCAGGAGTAACTGTTTCTAAGTTCAGATAAGAAAGAGACAGAATTGTAAAACTGTAAAAGGGCTGTGTGTTTTATTTATCTGCTGCTTCTAGTATGGACAGTAAGTTTTTTTTGCAACAATAGTATAATTCCCTGGTTCTCAGCTTTATTTCAGAGTAGTGAAAATACAACAATCAATACCTAGTAGTTTTGTTCTTCTATAAAATACTTTTCTTGTTTCACCAGATGAAAATAAGCCTATCTGGATGCATGCAGAAGAGAGGGAAGAATGCAAAGTAAGGCTGTTGTTGTAAATCCTTTTTGGAGCTAATATTTGTTTAGATTGCAAATCAGATTTTTTTCAACTGTACCTTTGTTCTAGGGAAAGCAAAAAGATGGCACATCTTTTGGAGAGTATGGTGGCTGGTACAAAGCTTGCAAAGTTGATAGGTGAGTAACTTCTTCACAGGACAAACAGCTCATTAATGCTCAGTGTCTCAGATTAAAACATTTTTAAAAATGGAACCAAAGCAACTCCTTGGTTAGGACTATAAAAACTAAAGTATTAAACACTCCAGGCCCAGGACTGGTTTTCAGGAATGCAGCAGCAGTTTTCAAGTCCTGAGGCTGCTCAGATCCAGTGACATGAAACTGCCCCAGTTGGGTTCTTGGCAGTCCTTCAGGTGGCAGCGTGGGTCACCTTTCCCTCTGTGCCCCTCCCTGCCCCTGCAGGGCCTCTGGGCAGGGCCAGAAATGAGCCTGCACCTTCAGTTATATATGCAGAAATAACTGCACCTTCAGTTACATAGCTGGCACAGAAAACAAAGCTAAACTGCCACAACTAAGCATTACTTGAGTTTGTAAATCTTCCAGAATGTAGTTGTGTGAATGACAATGTATACTTTAAAGTGAAATAAGGGAAACAAGGATTTCAACTTGGATTATAGTTGGTGAAGTGGTTTTTTTTTTGCTCTAATTTTGTTCCATTACTGAAGCTTTTTTAACATGGTGGTGCAGTGTATGAAAAAACCTGCAGCTAGTACTGATAGTGATTTTTTGTTTATTGAGTATTTGAATGTTCATGTTTAACAAGAATCAGAGCTCTTGTAGTGTTGAAATATCTTTTTTTCTCCATCCTGAGTTCTGTGTGTACAATACATTTTATTGGTTTGTTTTTCATGTACTTGTTCATTCTAATGCATGAGAAGATCTTTTCTCTGCTGTTAGTGGAGCAAAACTTCACTCAAAAATACTATGATTGAGCTAATTTTGTGCCATTGAAACAAAAGTGTCTTTTTTATGAGACTTGTTAATGAAATGGGCAATTTTTTTTGCTTTTGTTGTTCAGGCAAATTGGAATGCACAGAAACTGCAAATAGGTGTTAAGTAAAAGCTGATGAAAGCAGCTGTTAATTGCTTTTGTGACTAACACATGCTACATGTGGTCTGTCTAATAGTCTGTGCATGAATAAGCATTCATTTTGGAAGCTGCACAATTATTCAGTTGGATACACTCCTCTAGAGCTAAATTTTCACCTTGAGGTGCAGCTGAGGAGCACAAGGTTCTGGCATTCCAGTTTTAGGATGTTGGCTAGTCATAGAGACATTGATAGGCTTTGAAAGGGGTCAGCAGGTTATTGTGTGTCCATGAAGTACAGTATAGTGCATTACAAGAGAGAATAAATTATTGCAAAATATGGTAAACACTGTGTTAATTTAAGCTTTTATTAGTGAATTGAGAAGTTTGCTGTATGAGTATATATTTAATATAGAGTTATTTTTCTTTTCTTTCAATAGTCCAACAGTAACAACTACTTTAAAGAACCTTGGGGCACTTTACAGAAGACAGGGCAAGTTTGAAGCTGCTGAAACATTAGAAGAGGCAGCAATGAGATCTCGTAAACAGGCAAGTATGAAAATTCACCTGAATGATCTTTCTGCATTGTGGTCATGCAGATTTTCAACTTCCTGTATGCAGAATATAGAAAATTTCTGTGCCTGGTCACCCTCTAATTTCAGACTGAGCTGGTGATAAACTGATACATCTTAACACTTGCAGTTTGGTTAATTGTTAGGGCAGTGGCACCATGTACTGGGGACATGATTCAAACTGGAGGTGAAATTATGTGGAAAATGAAAGAGCAGAAAACATTGTGTTGGCCAGCAGTGCTCAATTCATTGGCTGCTTGTCCTGGGAAACAGACTGTAGCTGGGGGAAAATGGGGAGGTTCTGCTGGAAATCTCCTTTGCCAATCATGCTGTTCTATTTTTAATAAGGAGCTGTCAGGATTAAAAATGTTCAGTTGCTGCCTACAACTGATTAACAGAAACCTTTTGTTACTTCTGTAAACAAATGAGAGAAATATTACAGTTTCAGTGGGGACTTTCTTTTAATGTACTCTCTTTGTCCTCTCAGATCTACTCTTCAAGTAACACTTTCTCCCTTCTCTTGAAAGGTAGAAGAGAGTTTGAGTTTGTTGGGGGTTTATTGGCTTTTTTTCCTTTCCCTTTTGGATGGTTTGATAAGTGACATTTATAAGACACTTTTAAAAGTGTCTAAGACTGAACAAGAAAACTTGGGTTGTCAATTAGTGTTAAAATGGAAAGCAAAGTAAGAGAATAGAAGTAAATAAGCATCATAAATGTTCAATTTTAATTTCATTTTTTTAATATGAGAATAAATAAGACTTATATTTTTTTCTAGAAGCTTGCTGCTGACTCTTTATTTTTGAGGATGCTTCAGAATTTCACTGTGCATCAAATACCACCTCTTCCATTAATCCATAATATATGGCAGTCTACACACCCCTAGATTTAGATGTGTAGGAGACAATGCTGTGTTACAGCAGCATTTAACACTGCCTCTTTATTCTGGGTCATTCAAGTAATGCTCTTCACTTAGGGAGAAACAGTTACATGGAAACAAGAAACTGACATCTCCATGCCACTAAAACAACTTTCATGCTTATTCATGCACCTCTAAGAACTTTGGCATCCTTTTCACTTTCTGTATTGTGGTTGGCTTTATGGATTTGCCACACACATCCCTGCTGCATTTGCTGTACTGTAGAAGATGCAGAATATTTTGTAAAGTGTAAGGCATTCATCTGGGATGTCTTCCTGTCAGCAATACTGGTTATGATGTGGAATAGGTTTATTATAAAGAAGACAAAACTGAAAAGAAGTATGATTTGAGTTTTGATATTTTCTAGTTTCTGTTTTAAAGAATTTGGCTTTAGTGCAGGGTTTTCATAGAAGGTACTTTAGATATTAAAAGGATTATTTTATAATTGATAGGCATGCTTTAACACAAAGTAAATGTATTGACCATATATTTAGTATGTTTATCACAAGTTTCTATTCTGTGTCGTTTCTTTCTGAAGGAAAATTACATTAATGCCAGGTGTTGTATGTCAGTATTTTTAAATAACACAACGTGTTTTTGAGTTACTGGAGATTCAGACACCCCTCCAAAGGCAGGTGAAAATTGCACCATTTGATGGGGAGAAAACTTGAGAATTACACTGATGGTTCGTGATCTATAAGTTGCTCAAATATTTAGCTGGTTGCCAGATTGCTTCAGGTGAGTGACACGAACACCACAAGGCTTAGACAAGTGATAAGAAAGGAAGAAAAGAACAAGTCAGTGAATTCTCAAACTGCTAAACTGTTCACTTGATGCTTGTTGATCCTTGCAATTTAGCAAGGGCAGCTGAGCTGCTCTCTGGGAGCAGAACTGGCCTGATGGAATCGTGGGTTGGTTTTACTCCTTGCTCGGCCCAGCTGTGTGTGTAAGTTGTAGCTTAACAGAGCTTGTAACAAGATAAAGCCTCTTCCCATTCTATCAAATTCTCAGGGTCTTGACAATGTTCACAAACAGAGAGTGGCCGAGGTGCTGAACGACCCCGAGAGCGCGGAGAAGCGGCGCAGCCGGGAGAGCCTCAACGTGGATGTGGTAAAGTACGAGAGCGGCCCCGACGGCGGCGAGGAAGTGAGTATGAGCGTAGAGTGGAACGGGGTAAGTACAGTACACAGTTGCACACACTAGCTAGGAGCTCATCCCCTAACACCTCACCAGCCCGCTGTGCTCTCAGGAGTCTCCTGCTTCATCTACCTCCTAGTTTTGAATTTTGCAGAAACAGTTAAGAAATGAAGAATAACATTTTGTCTGTCATAATGCTAAAAAACGCATCATATTTAAAAGTTTTAAGACATCCTTTCTGTTGCTGTCCTGAATGGTGATATTTCTGCAAGAATCCCAAGCCAGTTGTATCTAAGGCCAAGTTGTGTAATGCTGATTGAGTGTCCTGGTTGTGGTCTGGTGTACAATTGCTTGTCAGTGGTTTGTTTTTACTGGTAGAAATATTCTTGCAATTAACTCACTTTTGCTTTTTTTCCTTTTGGTGCCATATTTGTTTGTAATTTAAATGTTTATTTAAAAAATACTCCCTCAGTTGGAATCATAAAAAACGTTTCCTGTGGAAATATACTGTGTGTTAGCAGTTTCAGAGTAAATTAAAATGACCAGTCTAACACTAAAATAATTCTAATGTCCTCCTTACCCAGCTTGCTGGAGGAAGGAACTCAGCTTTCCAAAGTGCTGTACAGTCCATTTTAAGAGGCAGTGCCATCACATAACGATGGGATGGTGACTTCATTACTTTCCCATATTAAAATTTGTCTGGAGCCAGGTCTTGTTCCTATTTGTTTCCCATATATTGGCTTCACTGTGTTACAGACTGTCATAAAGTAAAAACATAGATATAATATATATATATATAATGTGATTACATGTGCATTTCTCTAACCATTGTTTTCATTTGAAGGACAGTGCAAGCTTTCAGTTATTACCTGGCCTATGTAGTTTGCTTCTGTCACCAGCTTTCCCATGCTTTATCCCATTGCTGGCAATGGGATACACGTTGCACTCTTAACTAACTCCCAGCTGCAGTTCTGCTGAAAATACTCTTAGATTGTGAAAGTGGTGTTGCTTTTGCTGTGTGGGAGGGGAAGTAGCCTACTTTGCAATATTGAGTGTTCTGAAGCTTCATTTCTCTTACAATAGCAATCTTTTTCTCCCCATCTTTTTGTAAGCCACATGAGACAAAGCTTAGCATTCCAAAGCAACCTTGAGAAAAGATGTAGTGCTTTAGTCTCAAAGGAGAGTGTTCTTTCCATCTTTGCTTTTGTCTCTTTATTACTGTTTTCTTGGCATTGGTGCTCTCAGTGCCAAGACAGTCAATCAGCATCTATTGTGAATTAATACTGCATCATTAATAAAGCCAAAGTCAGGTTGAATAACTCTCTTTTTAATTCTCATTTTGCCCATTCAACATTAGAACTGTGTACTGTACTCCTCCCCTAATTTTCACTATACTTTGCATGACTGTATATTCTAAATGAATTAAACTTTTTTCTGTTGTAGACATTAATGCATGCAGGGTTTGGATGGAAAGGGCCCCCTGGGGAAAAGCAATTGACAGTATTTCTAGGTCAATATTCGAATCAAACTCAGTGAAAAAATTTGCTGGTCTGAAAAATCAAATTTTGACATTTGAGAGTAATCAAACTTCATTTTTAGTGTGCTGAAGTGGCATTGCTTCATTCTCATCTTTGTTATTTCTTTTTCCCCCGCTCTTGAGAGAAGGTATTTTGTATTAATGTTCTACGTGAAGTAGGCAACTCTCTCTCCCTCCCCTGCAAGTGTTTCTATCTCAGTGATGTTCTCTCCTCTTCTTTATATTGTGTAGTTTTTTTACCCTTGTGTGTTCCCTCCAGACAAAATACTCTGAGTCATAAAGTGGTGTAGGATCTTTTATTTGTGTCTGCAGAGCCTGAAGAGAGGCCTTTTCCATTTAAATTCTTTTGAAGTGGTCAAGCTGACTGAGAGAATAGGTGGAGTATGCAAAGGGACAAACTCCACAAAATTCTGTCAGAAGATGTAATTAAGGTCCTTCCACATCTAATGTAGTCCATAATAAGCATTGAAGGCTTTGATGTAATATTTTACACTCTTACAAAAGAACAGAAATCTCTATTGAAGTAAATCAGCCAGTAATGATTAAAACAGACACATTTCAGTGAGGTGTTATGGTGCATCTTTACATGTCACTTTTAAAGTTCCTGCCTTAAAGTGAACAGAAGATACTTGAAAATGCAAGGAAGTACTTCCTCTTAAAAATATAAAGTGAGAAGGCCCGGATTTGGATCTCTTATTATACTTTTATATAAAAAATAACAGTGAGTACCTGTAACTGGCATTTTTAACTGATCTGACAGCCTGCTGCAGGACAGATGAAAATCTTTGTGCTACTTATTAGAATGTTTGTAGTGTGAGTAATTGTCTTTTCATAACTGTAGCCATATGCTTCAGAGAGACAGGCTTTTGGGCATGTAAGTGCACTTCAGGTGTGAAGGGAGAACTATGGATTTCACTACCATAGACAAGAATTACTCTTGTTTAAATAAGTGCCAGACAGACAGATGTTGTGTCAAAGTACAGGAGGTGGTGATGGTAAGCAGCAGTAATAAGGGGATTCTCATTCTGAATGACATAAAAATTGGCAATTAAACTTTGCCATAAAAACAGCTTGTGAGTTTGGTTTTTGTTTCCTCTGGAATCAGGAATGTTTTGGTTTTTTTTATCCTGAGCTCATGTTTTAGAAGTGTTTTGTTAATCAAGCAGTCAGTGTTTAACTTAGGAGTTTGATATTTTTATTTTGATTTGAAGTACCCCAAAGCTTGTCTGCTTATTCTACTTTTCTAGTTAGGTTCTAGTTATACTCCATACCTACCAAATTTGTCCTGTGTTTGGATCATTTTCACTACTCTAGTATTGCTGATTGCAAACCACAGGAATAATTAGCCTTTTCACTGATCTAATACTCCTAGCTGGAATTTAGATTCAGTTTATTCAATCCTGTAAAGCTGAAATCTGTCTCTAAGTGTGAACAACATATGCAGTTTAGTTTGAAGCATAAATACTCAGTTAGATTTAGATCTTCTGATCACTTGGTAGCAGAGCATTTTGCCATTTGCAAGGATAATTTTAATTACTATTCATTCCAGTTGCTATAGGCAAAGGCTCTCAAGACAGGTATCATGAACCTATCAGTAATGGTGTCTGTACTTGTACAAAGAGTAAAAAAGTGTGCAAGCTGAACCACAGTTCATTTTAAAGGTACATTGTTTCAGCTGCCTCTCATTGCATTAGGGACGGTAGAGAAAATTCCACTTGGATTATAAATATAGACACAAACACAGATATGTTCTAAAAATACTTGTGAAAGTGAACTGACCCAGACCAGTTGGATTCTAGTTCCTTAAGGGAATGATGAGAATTTTGTCTGGAGGTTAGGTGAAGACCTCTTTCTTCTTGCACTTTTGTTTCAAGGAAAATTCCTGACAGAAGTTAAAGCTGAAATGAATGCACTTTGCTCTATTATTTTTCCTTCTTTTTTGTTTTCCTTTTTTTGTGAATGTCAGCTGAAAAAAATCTTTTTTTTTTTTTTTTGTTTCTGAAATGTAATAGCAAAGCTATTTCTTGTTAAAGGTGTTTTGTATTTTACACAAATGCTAAGTTGAATGCACAGCATCAGTCATGCTCATTTGTCAGTCCCATCTCAGTGATGTAGGTGAAACTGCATGAAGATGTAGGTTCTGGTAACTGCAAGGGCCTGCACTTTGTACTTAAGGGCTGTCCAAATAGTTACTCTGGAAAAAAAAAAAATTTGAACATGACCTAGAAATACTGTAAACTAACTGCTCAAAATTGAAAACTGTTGAATTTTTCCCAACAGTTTCATTCAGTTTTTCTCTCTCCATTTCTGACAGGCCTAGATGCCTTTTGTGATTCTTATACTGTCTCCTGCATGACGGGCGTGCACCATCTTCAAGCTTTAACTTCTCTCTTCAGTACTGACTGCTGTGTTTTAGCAAACCCCTTAAGATTCTTGTCAGAGCTACACTTCCCTGTAAACTGGCCATTCCTTCAGTGCTGGTGTCGTTTTTTGGTTTTCTATTTCTGTACCTGTGTAGCTTTGCCAGATATGTATCTAGTCATACCAAATGTTATTACAACCATTTGCTGTGTAATACATTAGTAAAAAAAAAAAACCAAACAAGTAACAATGACCTTTATAAGTAGCTGTTCACTATGGAATAAAGGTAGTTAAAAGTATCACACAAGGTATTATTGAAATGGCATGATGGTGATCTTTACAGGAGAAAAACCAAACCCGTACAAGTAAAGCATGTTCTCCAAGTGCTTTAAAATGTATTTAGAGACCTATTATATGGTTAACATCAATATGGAACTCTGGATGTCTTCACTTACAATTATTCTAAAGTAGCATTGCTGTTTAGTCTTTGTGTGAGATTTTGGCAATTATGCTTTTCTCTACTAATCTTGGTGTTCAGTGATTTGTGTATTTGTCTTTCTAACTTCTAATAAACTCACTCCAACTCAGGTGTCTGTCTTTGCTTAGTAGTGCTTTTTTCTTTTTCAACTCTTCTTTCATAATCACATAGGTTTTCTGTGGAGTAGGAAGTGTCACTTCTAATCTTACTAAACTGTTGGGGTTTTTTAAGAGTAAAACATTTAAAAATAGAACTGTGGTCACTCTGGGTCAGCACAGCAGTGTAAAACATGAGTGCAATATATGAAAAATGAATTTCATTGTGGTTTACTTTTTTGGTAAAAATTAAAAACGAAGCACAGGAATTTGGCTATATTTCTGATCAGAAATATTTTTGTTTAAGGATTTTAAGGTTAAACATGTTTGCAAGTAATGTAGATATACAGAAAGAACGAAACGTTTTTTTCTTAGACTGATGGAATGCTTTTGCTTGGGGCTTGTACTCTGTAACCATGGTGTGCTCATATGAAATGGTGGTGGTGAATTGTTGGACTACTGTGGTGGGGCTTTATTAATGAAGAATTATGGCTTGGGCATGTGTTCACATTTAGAAATCTGTGTTGCACTTTGGAAGGAACCCTTTTGCTTCGGTAAAGTTGTAGCTGTATGGAATTACACGTTTAGGTAAATGTATACAGTATAAGCATATATTAATAGCAATTAAGAAGTACTAATTGATCCCTGAGCTGTTTTCAGGGCAGGCTGGGGGAGGGCAGCAGCTCCTGCAGTTTCACATGTGTTCATTTCTTTCAGGATGGCACTGGATCCCTAAAGCGCAGTGGCTCCTTTAGCAAGCTCCGAGCCTCCCTTAGGCGCAGCAGTGAGAAGCTGGTTAGGAAGCTGAAGGGAGGAAATTCCCGGGACAGTGAACCAAAGAACCCAGGGTAATTCCTTATCTGCTCTTGGCTGTGCTCTGTCCCTTGCTCTGTGCCCCCCTGCAGCCCAGGGGAGCTCCTAGGGCAGTGTTCCCTTCCCTGCTTAGCTGGCTGCATAGCAGACACAGCTATGTCTTAAAGAAAAATAAAATAGGAAATTACTTCTTAAACTTCCATTGTAAGTTCTGTAACATCTTATATTTCCTTGTAAGAATTAACTCTATTAATTTTTTTTTTTTTGTGCTTTACCTACTTGAAGATTAGAAAAGCTTCATAGAACTACTGATAAATGTTAAATACCTGCAAAACTATTCTTTTCACACAGCAGTGGAGAATAATAAATATTACTGGTTTTTACAGTAAAAGCCTGAATACACTAAACCTGCAACTAACATCCTTGATGTAGCTTAGTATCTTGATATATTCTTGATATAACTTTATATGTTGCTGTGAGCATAAAGAGAATTACCAACTGAAGCCCCTCTTGGTTTCTGTTTTTGGAAGACTCAGATGTCAGAGAGCAGAGGAGAAGTTAAAAAACTTGAGCCTAGTTGTGCATCTTACTAACATTTTGGCTCCAATGAAATCTGGTAAAAATCCACATTTACTGAGTGGGACTGCTCACTCTTCCCAACTTGCCATATGATGATGGATTTTAATGTGATATTTCTAATAAATCCATAAAATCATTCATCACTTCTTGGCTGCTGCAGAGAAGTTGAAATGTTAAAATGTACCTACTACTTTTCATAGTGGCACTTCTGGGTGTTCCCCTCACCCCCAACACAATTGCAGTCAATTTTACAGGGTTTTTGCCCTTGTTGTGAAAAACTAGAACTCATTTAGTTGACAGGAAACTGACAGTGTGAATTTGTGCTTTAAAACAGTCATATTGGAGAACTTGGGGTAGCTTCTGATGGAGCAGCTGAATCTGAGTAATGTAGTAGATGATGATGATGATGATGGTATTAGTTAAGACAGTGACCTGGAGGCAGGGTCTCCCTGTGTTTCTGGAAGTGCTCCAGTGAAGTTTTGTCTTATTGTTTTTATGGCTGTAAAACATGAAGTACAGCAGCAGTACATGTAGAATTACCTATTCCTTGTATATCTGTTTCAAATTCAGCCTGATCTGAATTTTAGAGTTGTTACTTAAAATTTCACTGCCAAACACTTGATGTGGAAGGCATTGAATAGAATTGAAGGCCAAAATTCCTTTGCATTTATTGATACATTATTAAGAACTACCTCTGAGATAAGAGGTTGGGAGTAAACTATGGAAAGCACAAGATTAGAAGAATGAAATGTGTAAATGTAAAATGCTTTAGGGAAAACAAAGGCAAGCCAAAATATAATAAAAGGGAGATTTCCTTCTTTTTCTGCAGTATTAGCAGCTTTATACATTGGTTTTCTGTTTCTATTCAGTTCTGTCCAGAGTTCATACATCATAGTTCAGGTGTGTTGTTGTATGAATAGATACATTTATCCATAGCTGAATTTGCATTTTCTCCTCAGTTTTGTGAGATGTGGAAAGGCTTTCAGTTTCACAAAAGCCAGGAGGTTTATTCCTTATTCTCTATAGTATTTATAGCTAGCTCTTTCTGCAGGTAAATAACTCCATGTGTTGGGTGTAGAAAATGATGCTCACATAGAACTGGAGATGTTTGGCTTTGCAGTGCCTGTGGGAACTCACCTGCCCTGTCACTGTCTGCTCCTGAGCTGTGTCCTCTCCCCAGGCTGACATGAGTTACACCCTGGGCTCTGGAGCACCAGATGAGATTTCCTCAGGTGGAGGCATTAATGTGAAACCAAACTGAAAGCAAAGCTGTATCTTCCTTGTTTTCCCTTTCTGACAAAATTATCTTGTTTTTAGCTGTCACCATAGTTCTCAAGGAATAAAACTTACAATAAGTGTATTATATTGCCAGGCTTTTCTGTAGATAGGCACTTTCAGTGTATAGAACAATAAATACTATAATTTCTGTTCTTGTAGTAAACAGAGTTTTTAAATCCTGATTTATATTAGCTGGTTTTAATAACAGATGCAGAAACTTCTGGTATTAAACACCAGCTTTGTAGGTCATAAAGCATAGCTTACATATTGATATTTTAAGAAATCATTTTGATTTCACTTTATGAAGAAACTTAAATGAATAGAATTATTTTTTTTCTTCCTCTGAGTGTAGCAAAAGGCACATTCTGTTGTTACCATGCAGACCTTTGGGTTTTAGTGTGTTTGACAGCTGAATATTTCAATACAGACATAGCACAAGTATAAATCATCCTTGCTGTGAAGGCAGCCACTCCAGGCAGAACATTTCTGTGCCTCCCTCCTCACCAGTGCATTCCCTGCCTGTGACTCGAGGAAGGCTTTACTTAGAACTTGATTTGCACCTCTTGTTTGTCCTCTGCTTCTCTAAATAGCAGTTGACAGTGCTGGTGTGAGCACTGAGTGAGAAATACTTGCATAACAATGACTCACAGGATGAAGGAAGGAATAGTGTCCATGTTGCTACTTGATACACAAGGTTGAAGAGAATGAAATGGAAAACTCATCAGGGAAATTGTTTCTTTACAATCCTGCAAATGCCTTTTTTGACAAATAAGTATCTTAAAACTGATCTTTGAAACATGCAATACCCGAAGCAAAGTATCAGTTCGTTAGAGAATTCAGTTTTGTAATAATTTAACTTTGATTATTTAGTGTTCTTTATTTTGTCACTTCAAAAATATTGACCACACAGCAGAACAGTTAAGATCTCTAATCTAAAAGGAAAAAACAAGCTTTCATTATTGCTATTACTTATGCACAAAATCAATTCCTGCATGTTCTCTGTGGAGTCATGTTTGTAACATAGAGGGAACTTATAAGTGCAATTGCCAGACTTAAAGTTCTTAAAAGTGTTGATTTAAACAAACCCAAACAAATAAAAGACCAACCCACAAACAAAGTAGTATCTCAGGTATTAATATTTTTTTTTAATTGGCACTTTAGCAAGAACCTAAAATACCCGTGTGAACTTCTACTGCTGGATTTTCTGTTTCCCTGGAATGTTTTCCATAAACCTTTGTCCTCTATTGGAGAGTTTTCTGTAACATTTTGTTTGTTTTACAGATTAACTTCCTTTGATTTCCATATATAACCCCTGTTGTACCTGTTTCCTTGAATAAATGGGAGGTGTACACCATGCATGAGTCCTTGCTTTGTTGTTGCTAACACTCATGTCAGATATTGTAAATTCTGTGCTTCTGGCTTTGGAACACCCAGATTTAGTGCTGGGAGAACCAGCCAGGCTGTGCTGTGTGGAAGCTGCTGCCTCATGTTTTGGTTCATTGTCCTGCTCAGCTTTTGCTTTGCCAAAGCATTTCACACTTGTGCTTTGACTGTGAGCAGTGTTGCTTCGGTAGGAAGGAAATCTGGTTAATATCCAATGTGATCTGTATGGGAAAACCTTCCCATGTTACTGGAAGGCATTGGAAGGTTTGCTTTAGCCAGTTGTCCTGAGCTGCAGGTAGCACTGCAGGGTTGGGGCTCTCTGTCTTGTGTCCAGTTCATCAAATATGTATTCAGAGCTCTCCTTTAGTTCTGAAATAGGTAAAGAGCTCGTGAAAAATCAGAGCAAATGCAGAATATTCTGAGGAGTGGACAGGCAGTGGTGTGATGAACATCAGGCATTCCATGATAGGAGTCTTAGGGCTGACTGTGAATTTCATGAAGCAAAAACTTGAAAATATTTTTTGTTAAATTTTGTGTCTATTTGAGAAATGGAGGTAAATTATTAATTCTCATTTGAAAGAGCAGCAGATACTGCAGTAAATGCAGTGATATTTTGACTGTAGTAGCTCCTGGTAGGTGATGAATTTTTTCCCCTTTTCCATTGCTTTCCATACTGTATTCCAGGGTGCTTGTTAGCACTGCTTGGAGTGTTGTAAAGCCAAAAGCACAACCAAAGTTAACAGCAGCAACCCATCTTATTTCCTTTCACTTTGAAATACCTAAAATAAAACATTTTAAAATGCTTTAAAAAAATCTATTCTGAAGGCTTATATAAATGAGGCAGAAAGTACCAGACTAACTTCTGTTGTAGATTTTTCAAGGTAAATGCTGCCTACACAACAAACTTGTCTTGCAGATGTTTTTTCCTAAACTGTTTGAATGTTTTGATGCTTTTGTAAGA